GTGTGTGTGTGTGTGTGTGTGTGTGTGTGTGTGTGTGTTGATACATATACACGATACAAATAAAAACCTCTAGATCTAAATACTTTCATACGATAAAAGTGACCTTGCCCGAATAGAGGAGGCAGCTGACACAACTCCAAATTTCATCATCAATCACGAAACTCGAGACATGGGATGGATCTCGAGGCAATATTTTGAGTAAGAAATATTCAAACCTTGATAAAAAAGTCACTCAGAGCTCTGATTTCAACAAACTTATAGTCAAACTGAGCGGCTCAACGAGAAGAACCCAATGATATTCAATCCGAGTCAATCAAGCTCAGATCATGTCATTAAACTAATCTTGGAGGCTTTCCAAACATATTGAGAAGGACAAACAAATGTCGAATTTAACAAGTCTATAGTTGAATCGAGTGTCTCAACAAGACAAATGTAGGGAGCTTAAGATCGCTCAATTCCAACATCGTTAAGATACTCAAATGTTCATCAAACACCGTCTAATCGAAGAAAGCTCTTCGGACTGTTCGATCAAAATGGTTCAAATTCCTTTATTAATAACACCCAACACACTATAAATAAAGTCTCACCCCTCTCATGAGGGAAGAGGAAAGCTTCAGATATGAGGAAGAGCTTGAACCTTTGAGAATGAGCTAAAATCCAACACCAACATCCTAGACTGCTATCAACCACCACTAACCTCTTTCAACAACCGCCGACCGTTGCCGACTTTCATCAATCGCAGTCGACCACCGTCGACCACCACTGACCTCCATCGACCACCGCTGACAGTCGTCGATCACAGTCAATCTCCATCGACCAACTTCAACTATCGTCATTCACCACTAACTATCATGGACCTCCAATGACCAGACGTCGCAAATCACTATCGATTGCTGCTCATTCCTAGCAACAAATTCATTAGCACGTCGACGTTATAACTTGGAAAACCTAGGAACTCTTTCTCGTTTGCCGAACAATTGCTTGCAACTATAATTATCTTCTTATAGTAGAACTCTTCAGCTGGACCAAATCTCGTGGTTTTTGTTTTCCGAGTTTTCCACATAAAAAACTACTGCTGTCTTAGTTAGTTGTTTTCTTTCTTTTGAGTGTGTACTGAATCTTCGTACCACACTAAGACGATAATCTACCAGTCTACTGCGACGAATTTTCTAGCACGCATCAATAGTATATTTCTCTGTGAGGGTCCGCTTAAATTTATTGAAAATTCTTCCAAGCTGGCTCAAATTGAGTTATTTGGATCCGTTTCAGCTTCATATCAGCACAATCTGGCTCAAAATTGAAACTAATTGGCTCAAATTTGTTAGTTGGATCTGTTCCAACTCAAAATTGGTTATATATATATATATATATAACACCTACG